ACTCAGGAGGCTGAGGCAAGGAGGATCAGTGAGTATGAGGCCAACCTGAGCTACACAGGGAGCTCAAGACTAGCCTGAACTACATAGCAAGACTCTCAGAAAACGACACACACACATACACACACACACACATATTATCCTGAACTATATAGTGAAACCAGGCTAGCATTTATTTTATTTTTTGAGACAGGCATACGCCACCACGCCCAGCTCAGGCTAGCATTTAAATTTGAATTTCCTGGCTTCCCATCTAAGGAGGAATTATTTGACCCAATATTAGGATTAAAATATTTTTTTCAATAACTGAACCAGCATTTTATAAAACACAAGACTTCTACAGCACCTTACTTTTCAAGGGGTATTAGGTTATTTCTACTTGTCAAAACTTACTAAACTGTCAGTATTGCACTTGGCTCACTGGGAAATACAAATTACAAAAATTCCATTGGGTCCAAATATTTAGCCCACAGAAAATTCAACAGTAATAAGAAACAGTGAAGGAACTAAATACAATACATACTGTTGAAAAGAGGTATTAAAGGGTTTCAGCAGCTTTCCTTTTAAAGATGCAGGAATAAAGTGTGACTTAAGCCAAAGCTTTGAGAACGTTTGGATTTGAAGTGGCTGGAAGACTGCTTGGTGGCAGGGGGTAAGGGAGGATATGAGTTGACACACAAGTAAAACCTGTGGCCATCAAAAGTTATCAGACCAGAAGATGTGGTATAAGAATAGTGATAAATTTTTTAAGTGATAAATTGTTCCAGGACCAAGAGTAGAGTTGCCGAAATCAGCTTCAAACATTTCAGTAAATAGTAATTCAGTAATGGAGATAGGAAAAATTCAAATAGTAAATTAAAAAAAAAAAGAACTATTTGCCAAGTAAACAAAATTTCTGGTTTGGCCTAAGTCATGGATGCAATGGAATTATACTTAAATAAAGACCTTGACTATCACCTTGTAGTTTTCTAAAGCAGAGGACAAAGGAGCTGTTTGGGGCTTCCTTGTACAATATGCTTGCTCTATTATTAATCAATGATCTACACTACTACTATCAAGATGTGAGTACCACACAACTGTTGAAGTTAGCCTAAAACTTTCAAGACCCATTTAAAGGATGTAGCTTTGGCGATCCCGCAATCCATTCTCAGCTTACCCCAAATTTCCACATAAAGGCTTCCTAAACCCCAGCACCTTATAGAACACCTTTGCTATGCTTTCAGCATTTCTACAGTATAATTTTAGCCCTTCTCTTATAAAAGAATTCTGGATTCACATTTGCAGCTTGAGTGCCTTATGGAAAAATTCAACTATTAAACAGACTCCAGAGCTAACATTTTTAGGACTAAGGTTACTCTCAGTCCAAATCGCATAAATCACCAACTACCATCTGTAGCGTCCCACACATTAGCTTACCAGGCAAGGGTATCTGTCATGTGCTCAATTCCTTCTCTCCTAAAACACCCACTTAATTTGTCCACCTCTGGCATTTTCTTACTCAAAAAGAGACAAGTTTTTAAGTTTTAATGCTGTTAGTATTTTTATACCCACTTCATGATGACAAATACCCATGCAGTGAGCCTAAAAACTTTTACATAAGGCACTAGAAATTGAACCCAGGACCTCACAAATGCTAGGCACGCTTGCTACTCTAAATTGCACTCCCTCCTTTCAAGCCTAAAAACTTTACTACAGTATTAGTTTTAGTGACAAAAGAGGCAAGAGGGCTATCCTTTCCATTTTTAGTACTATAAACTTGCAGACATGAGAGGTGACAGTAATGACAAATGCCAAACTCATTCTCATTAAACCTAAGCTCAAAAGGTTAAAAAGACCCATGTATACATTTTCCCTTGAGGTGCTGGGAATCAAACCCAGGGGTGCCCTGCCTCTGACCTACACTCCTTTTTTAAAAAAATTGTGTCTTGAATTGTCCAAACAAGACTGAAACTTACGATACTCTTGCCTCAACCTCCCAAGTGCTGGTATTACAGTGGTGTGCCGTAGTGACTGGTTTATACTGACTTTTGGGGGGGCAGGTACTGGGGATTGAACTTGGGACCTTGCGAGTGCAAGGCAGGCACCAGCACCACTGAGCTAAATCCCCAGCCCTATATTTTTTGATTACAAGATATTCTCAAAGGCCTAAGAAGAGAGCTAACCTGACAAGCACATTTTAAAAACTATGAATCACTTAGCAATACCAATTAGTTATATACATATCACTCCTGCATCTGCCTCACACTGGTGATAAAAAGGCCCTTTGACACACTTTTTCTGGTACATGATCAATGTTTTGTAGCACACCTTCTACTGCATACAATTCTTACAATCCTGCCCTACCTCCTATCTAGATGACATGGCAGAAAAGCAGATGTTAAGTCTTCAGCATTTTGGACGTTTTGTACCTATAATTGTAACCACTACTCAACGTTGACCTTAGTAGACTCAGTAGCTGAGACGGAAAGATATCACTCAACAGATGAGAAGGCATGTTAAAAGAAACTTTACCCAAGGGCTGGGGATTTAGCTCAGTGGTTTTGCTGCCTGCCTTGTAAGCGCAAAGACCTGAGTTCGATCCCCAGTACCAAAAAAAAAAAAAAAAAAAAAAAAAAAAAAAAAAAAAAAAAAAAAAAAAAAAAAAAAAAAAAAAAAAAAACAAAAAAATATTTAATAATTCTTAAGGAGTGGGCTAGGAGAGAAAAGGGAGCTGGTATAACCTCAATAGCAGATAAAGTTTAACTGAACCAAAACCAAGAAAGAAAATAATGGCCCAGGCCTCCTGGCAGTATTATTTACCCAAATCATTTAGCGCTGATCCAGAGGATCAAGGTAGCTGGCCTCCTATATGCTTGACACAGCTCCCTCTAGTGGCCTAATAATTTTAATTTAGGTAAGTGAGCAGAACACTAAAATACCTTTTAGCATCCCCACAAATTAAAGCTTTTTGCTCCAAGTATATGCAATGGAGATGTGTTACCTTACAGTGGCTTTCAAATTTCCAGTATTTTTTGATAGTGATAATTCTATTGAGTTCAGACATTTCAACCTGGTACTTTTGAGTTAAGAGACAGAAAGCATGCATTGGAACGGTTTTTCTCTCCTTTGTAGTAAAGGCACGTGACTTAGAATCCAGCCCAGCATCTACTACAATGTTGTAAATTGGCTGGACGTGAAGCTCAGTGGAGAGTGCTTGCTGACCATGCATGAGGCTCTGGATTCAATCCCCAGTATCAACTCCTTTTTTTTTTTTTCTCCTGGAATAAGGCCTTGCTAGAGTTCTGGCTGGCCTCAAACCTGCAGTGATCTTCCTGGTTCAGCTTCCTGAGTGCTGGGGTTACAAGTTCATGCCACTCTGGCCCACCCAGCCTTTATATGACATCACTTCTATGTACTGAGGCACCAATTTTTATAATAGGGGAAAAAAACCCCAGCTTCTCTTGATCCCTACAACCAACCACTTTCAGGGTTATCAAGCATAGCTTTTGGTTTTCAATGGCAGGAATAAATGTGGGGCTGTAGTATAACTAACTTCTTGGGTATCTAAAGCAAAAGTTATTTTTTTGGTACCAGGCACTGAACTCGGGTTGGTCCTTGTGCTTGCGAGGCAAGCGGCGGAACCACTGAGCTAAATCCCCGGCCCAAGCAAAAGTTGTTTTTGCCAGGAATATTTACCCAATAATCACAATTTTTTCATGCTTATCTCAGCCCTTCCCACAGGATCAGATTGGCCAAAGTTCCTGCTAAATACTAAAATAGTAGTAATTATATCAAGTATTGTGCTATATGCTCTAGGTGAACATCCTTCAAAAATCACGAATCTACTCAACAAATTTGGGTCATACCTTTTCTTTTAAAAGCTGTTTTAGCCTAAAAGATGGAGAAACTTATTTCACCAAACTACCAGGTGAGATTATATACAAAATTACAAAAGTGCTCAATTTCCATATTCCAGTACAGTCCTACAACCCTTTGTCTGAATGCAAGGGCAGATGTATTTAGGACTCACGGCTGTTTGTCTGTATGTAAAGGTATAGTGTACATACTCCATTCAAATGGTGGTAAACCTCTGGCATGTGCTGCATGCAAATAGATTCTATCACTGCCCTATACCATTATAAAACCCTCAGTAGTTTCTGGCAGCAAGTGCATGATAATCAAGTGCACCAATCAATTTTGGCAGAAAAATGTGTTATCACACTATGGACAAAGACGAAGCTATCAAAAGAAAAATTGAGGTCTTACTATGCAGTGCATGTCAGCCTTGAACTCAAGGTGCCCCTCCTGCTTCAGCCTCCAGAATGCTGGGATTATAGGGGTGGCACCACCAGACCCAGCCCAAAACAAGTCTCATTATGTAGAGTTCAGGCTGGCCTTGAACTCACTATGCAGGATAGGATGAACTCAAACTGAGCAATCCTATCTCAACTTGAGTGCTGGCATTGTAAGTGTGCACCTCCACAGTGCAGTAACAATTTTGATCAGCTTTTACACATAACTGACTTAGTAACTCCTGAATTCAGGGATTTAAGTTTCAAAATTGTGAATAAAAAGATTGGAAATCTGTTTTCTGACTTTGCATTCTTCATACTTGTGATGTTAAGCCAAAGGTGGTCAAGCTACAACAGATTTTCAGTCTGAAACTTTTTAATACTATTTGTGGTAGATACATCAACTTAGTTCAATTGTAATTTTATTACAAACTCCATATACAAAGCAAAAAGGCACACAAGAAATTCACCTTGATCAGAGACCTGAAAATAACACCAGCCTTATTGAACATGTTTCACAGGCAAAACTGAAGTTTAGATTCTGGAATTAATCATATTGAAACTCAAGCACTAGAAAATGAGTGGATTTTTTAACACTTAAAATTTATTAAAATTATAAAACTTAGGAAAACATTTTAAATGAAAATAATTCACATTCCAAACAGCATTTTAAAATTAGTTTTCAAAATAAAAACTTAGATCCCAAGCAATTAGGAATCAGAAGTTTCTTACCTTTTTTTCTCCAGTGGGATGTAGGCTGCACAGCAAAGTGGGTTATTCAATCTGATGTTATGAAAAATTAAGGCTTCTTAGAAAGACCTAAGTGCTTTTTCTTGGTTAGAAAATAAACTTTTAGGTTCCCTATATTTAAAGGAGACACAGGGGAAAAACTCAAGGCAGTTTTTGCAGTTCAGTAAGGGTATAATTTCCTTCTGCTAACTGCTAATGCATAGAGGTCCATTTCCTATGACTAAATATAAGTCTATCCTTTATTGCAGCCTGGTCACCATAACTATAAAACCTACATTCCTCTACCTCTCATAACTATGTAGTAAGTCCTCTCTGATCTTCAAACTAAAGCCTAGATAGTAGACAAAGAATACTTATTTCAATCTGGGGTTGGAACTACTAAGCCTTTTAGTAGAATCTCATTTAACATAGCTTAAATAGACAACTGTAAGCGAACATTATCCTCATTTTGGTCCTGTTTCCAAAATATTTTGCAAAAAGCCAGGTTTCTTAAGTCTACTTCATTTTGACCTTTCAAAATTATCTTATTTGGTAACTTCTAATATTTCATTTAAAATGTATTTTACACAAGAAAAACTCCAAGTATGTCATGTGTAATTGTTCAAAACTGTTTAAAAGCAATTCTTGCTTGGTCCTACTTTGAATCCCTACAAATAACTAGAAATATTTATCTTTAACCTGTGCCATTTTATCTACCTAAAACAAAACTCCTGGTTTTGAACTTGATGTCCTCTACAGGATAGACTATCATTCGCAGTGTGCCAAACTTAAGAGTCACCATCACTGCTCCATATGGTTTCTTAAAATGTAATGGTTAGGTAATCTTACAACTGTCACGGAAATCCTTCCTTCCACTATCAAGATGTCTTGTTTCCTCTACGTTTTAGATTGGCAGCAGAATCATCATCAAATTCAGTCTGCACCCAAGGGAATAGTTAAAGATGTAGCAACTCCTATTGAGTACAAAAGAGCAGTTGGCTGTTCTCGCTAGCTATAAGAAAATAAAAATTTAAAATAAATCACCTCTTTCCCATCCCAAACAAACAAAAAAAATTAGCATCCAGGGGCTCTTAGCAAATATATAAAAACTAGTAGACAAGATATAATCACAGCTGTGATACAGAATACTTAAGTTTGGGGACAACATAATTTTAGGGTTAGCAAGAGTTTACAAGGCAAAGATTAACCCAAATAAGCAGTTAATCTTCTACCATACTGTTTACATTTCAAAAAGGAAATGTCACTTGTGCTGAGTTCTAATACATCTATGCTTAAAGCTAACATTTAATACTTAGCAATTTTTGAGAAATCAGACTCTTGAAGGCCACTTCCAAGCCAATATTAATTTGCATCAACTAATTTTGTACAAGCCTACATAGTCTATAAATGATCACCAAAACAAACAGCATCAACAAATTTTTAATCACTTTTTAGCAAAGAGCTTTCAAACTAGATCACCCCTCAATTGCCATTACATATACAACTGCCTTATTCTTTTTATCCTCCCCTTATGATTTTCACAACATAAGAGATGGCTAATACGATTTATTAGACTGCCTTTCAAGAAACTTTTAATACATAAACACAAGAGTCAGAATCTTATGTTGCTTCAATTGATAGTTACAAGTTAAAATCTTACATGAAGAGGAAAAAGGACAACCATGCATTGTTTTTTAAAAAATGTTTATTTTTTCAAAGAAAAACGGCAATAGCCAATTGGAAACCTACTCATTCTTCAACTCCAAATTTTTTCTTTAAATTTAGAAGTGACTTACTGATTACTATTTTAAACAAACCCCCCCTTACCCCTTTAAATGTTTACCATCTACTCGTGCTGAATCCTTCCAAGGAGATTGCTCCAGCGTATTATCTCCAGGTCCTCGCTTTGCTCCTTTTACCAAAAAATGCAAAACACAATTCCATCGTGCATCTTAAGGGCTCCAATCGTCAAAAATAGGAAAAAAATCTTTGGAATAGCCAATTAAGTTGAATAAAAAAATCCACACGAGTGCGGTTTGGTTGGGGCAGGAATCCACTCCTATGTTCCTGGTAATCTGATCCCGCTCCATGAATCCTTGTAATTCATCCTCCCTATCCTATCCACATTATGATTTGAATCCAATGATCCAGCTCCAAGGATTGGGATCCAGTGAGCCCTCTCCAATCCAAACCTTTATAACCAGCAAAACCAAAAAAGAGGAGGCAAAATGTTAGATACTGTAATCAAAAAAGGTTTCTGGGGAATGATGAGTTATGTCTGTCATCAATTTAACAGATGTACATCAATAACTATCAAATTCCCCAAAACAAGTTTCTGAATGGTGCTCAGATAAATTTTAGAAACTTAATCATCATAGAGACTAACTGGAAGAAGCATTTTATATTTACAGTTCAACTGATAATGCCAACACTTGTTACTGTACAGCGTATTACAGGTTTTGTGGTTACAGTTATGTAGTTGAAAAGTTTACTAATATTGTTACCCACCTAAGTCTAAACTAAATCTAATGTTCCCATCTGCAATTTTATTTGTAAATTAAAGTGTCTTAAACATGAGTCAATTATGAATATTAGTTTAAAGGGGAAGGTGAGACTTAAAAGTACTCCCAACTAGATTATCTACACCAATACATTGGAATTCTATATTTTGCTTTCATTTTGTCTTAAAAAAATGAAATAGCAACGCTCTTATCAGTCACACAGAGGACATGCAGATTTAGCAGTATTGATATTATACTCTATCTCATTGGAATTAAAGACACCCTGTACCCACATGTACACCAACAGCAGGTCACACATTAACAGTTGTAACTAAGCACTGTGACAAATTAGCCAGTTCTTCCCACATTAGTCCCTATTAAAACAAAAAAAGGGGGGAAGGGAGCAAAATATTACAAAATGGGCAATGTTCTTTTGCCACAATTGCAAAGGTTTAAAGAGCAAAGCAATTGTAGCTTAATGATAAAACTGCATAAGATGTTTGCAAGTGTTTTAAGGTAGATATACATATTTTTCACTTTTAACCCTTGCCTTTTAGTATAAGGTCAATACTGCCAATTTCATCTGTGACAATAGCACTTGGAGTCATACCATTGCCTCCATTATTGATCTGATCCTCCTCAATCCTCCTTTTGACAATCCTAAAATGATTGAAATGTGCTCCACAATCCTTAATCCAAAGCATTCTTAATCCATCTCTTCAGATATGTCTACAGAAAGACACATGAAAAGCAAGATAAACATAAGAACTTCCCCAGATAAGATAACCACAAACACCCCCAACATCCCAGTTCACACAAACCAGAGCAGAATAGACATTTACACAATATCACAGTCTGAAGAGCATGGAAAGTTAACTAAATTGAAACATCCTGTCTATGACATCATTTAAAATACAATTTATCAAAGACATGAGGGGAATGTAGATGTTAGGAGCAAGGGGATATTACACAAGAATGCAATTCAACACTTTAGCCCATTCTGAACAAAACAGTTTGAATTAAAAAATGAAAAGATTGTACTGAATAAAGGAAAACTGTATACAACATGGGTTCTACAAAAAGTGTCACCAATCATCTTATGTACGAGAGCGAGATCTGCTATGACGGGGAGAATAGCGTGGTGATCCTCTGCTTCTCCTTGGGGAGTAACTGCGACTCCTGCTGTTGCTTCTGCTACGGCTTCTGCTACGACTACGGCTTCGGGATCGAGATCTTCCATAACTTGGACTTCTGGGCCCATCAACTTTAACCCGGATGTAGGCAGTTTCTCCCTATTGGATAGACAGAACTTTCCATTGAAAGATCTAAGCTTTTCAGCTGTCTTCAGTCATGCTGAATGAATACAAAGTAACTACAATCGGGTATCTGGCAATTTACTTTTGGACACCCTTGCCTGAATCCTTACCTTCAAATTCCACTGTTAAGAACACTGTGTCCAATTCTGGCCAAAGAAAAGAATAAGTGTATAACCTACCTCATGAGATCTAAACTTAGTGTTATCCAGTTTTCGAACCGCATAGGTCATATCTTCTTTCCGTACAAACTCCACGACACCAGTGCCATCTCGGTAAACATCAGCATAACATACATCACCTGCTTCACGCATGTGATCCTTTAAATCCTGCCAGCTTCCACTTGGAGGAAGTCCTGAAAAGATTTTGTTCTCCCTCTTAATAACAATTATCGTAATTTTCACGTTAATCACACACTAGGAAAATAAATCACTTAAAAATGCTTAATTATGACTGTATATAAGTGATTCCAGGAAGAGCTGGTAAGATTCTGAGCCCAGAGTCCTGATTTATTTTTTAAAGAATCTTCATATTCTCGTACCGCGGGGCCGGGGAGTTAGCTCAGTGGTTCCTCCGCCTGCCTCGCAATCGCAAGGTAGCCAAGTTCCATCCCCGGTACCAAAAACAGAAAAATCTCACGTATTCTAGTACCGCAACAAGATTTGGGTAATATTTACTTACTAAATGCACCCGAAAACTAAAGGCTTAGCACAAAAAACTTGCAATTGTCAAATCGGTCAGGGAAGGAAAAATTTTAAGTCATGTTTGACCCTCCTCAACCCACTTAGGTAGCACAAACTCACCAGAGACAACCACTCTGTTTTCAGACCGCCTGGATGGGGGGCCATAGCGGCCTCTGGGCGCTCCACCACCTCCACCCCCGCCGCCGCCTCGGCCAGTACCACGGCCGCTTCGAGGAAACTCCACCCGCAGACGGTATCCATCGTAATCGTAGCCGTCGCGACCGTACACCGCGTCTTCCGCGTCTCTGCGTGATCACGGAAACCAAAAAGAATGAGAAGGGGAGACCCGAAGCAGAAGCTAAGTCGGTCTCGAAGCGCTGACCCCCGCACATGCGCACCCCGGCGCGGAGCCCACATGCGCCGCATAATAGGAGCGGCCCCTCCCCCACCCAGCAACGCGCCGGGCTCCAGAGCACTACACCATCCCTCCGCGCCTCAGTTTCCCGCTCCGGGGCGGCGCGGGGGCTCCGAGGACGTTCAAGGCGCCTGATCCGCAGAGACGCCACATGGGCTCGCCTCCTTCCGGGACGACACCGCCTCGCCCCATCCGTTTCTCCAAGAACCCCTCCTTCCCTACTATGTTAAGGCCTCGGAGTCTTCCCCAACTACCCCAATCTTTTTCTCAAAGGCCGCAAGTCCCATGCTTCCTCACCGCGGGTCCTCGAACTCTACGAAGGCGAAGGGCGGTCCCCCGCGGCGATTCTTGAGATCGATGTCGCGGATAGCGCCGTATTTATAAAACACGTCCTCAATGTCCTTGGTTCGGATATCTGGAGGTAAGTTTCCCACGTAGATGCGGCAATCGTTGTTCCCTGCCGGGCCACGAATCACACCACCTCCCGACATGGCGGCGACGAAAAAGCGCGGACTCGAGAACGGGCCTTCCCACCAAGCCTAGCGCACAGCAGAGCGAACCCGCAGCGGCACCACGTCTCCCGTGGCCTCTCCAAAATGGCGCCTTTATCTGCTTGGCGCACGGATACAGGGGGGAGGGAGGAATAGAAGCGAAAGGAAGCGACTGTTCGCTCTCAGTGCGCAGGCGTGGGAGCGTAACGGGCGTTGAAAGCACGTTTACGCACGCACGACGTCACCCTCCGCACGAAGGAGGGAAAAAAAGTCCCTCGCCCCCTTAATTTTGTAGTGTAATAGGCTAGTAAAGGGACCAGTTATTAGGTAAAAATTAAACACAGAACCCTCGTGAAAGAGGCTATCAATCCCTACGGGATCATAAAACACAGTTTCCCCAAGAATCAACCTTTTTGAAAGGAACTCGGTGGCTTGAAAGGACTTGGTGAAACCTACCCTAGAACCCTATCCCACCATGCTCAGCGCCGTTAACGGCCTTTGGCGGGAAAGGCTTCGGGGCGGGGCAGACTCTGGGGGCGGGACTAACGGGGAGGAGCCGGGCTGTTGCTCCGGAAACCGGGGCAAGTTCTGCTACTGCTTGTAGTCTGAGACCTGAGTTGCAGGTGATTCAATTAAAAGGCAGGGTATAACTGTAGCTTCCTCCCCAACCAGAAAGGATGACAATACCGTACGGCCCTCGAGACCGAACCTTTGCTTCTCTCCTAATTGCCTATCTCTCGACTCAGCGCGAAGAGAATGTGTGTGTGTGTGTGTAATTCTGAAGTTAACCTTTTCTTGCAAAAGTTACTTTTATACGAGAATTTTAGAGTCATTATCGGGTCTCTCAGGTAATAATACAAATGAGAAAACTGGATGTGACAACCAAAATCTCTAGAGACCACGGCTGCTTGCTTGATAGCCTAGGGAGATAAGAACTTTCCCCACCTTTTTTCCAGAGATATCCGAAGTTTGGATTTTTATGTGAAATTATGGTTTTGTTTGGTCAGGTGCTTGGCCTCGAATACAGTATGTGGCCTCATGTGTGAAATCATAGGATTTTTAAACGTTGGTGATGACAGCCAAGCATAGTGGCACTGGTTTGTAACACCAGCATTCCAGAGGCTGAGGCAGGAGGACTACCACGAGTTCGAGGCCAACCTGGACTCCATAGTGAGTTCAAGGGCAGGCTGAACTACATAGGGAGACCCTGTCTCACAAGAACCAAATGAATAATTTAATTAAAAAATGTTAGTGATGAATTCAAATTAAAAACAACACCAAACTCCGTAACTAAATATGCTAAACCAGCCAAGTGTCATGTCCCACGTCTGTGGTCCCAGCACTGGGGAGGCTGAGGTAGGAGGATCATCATGAGTTTGAGGCCAACCTGGGCTACGTAGTGAGTTCACAGACAGCCTGAACTACATAAGTGAGACCCTCTTTTAAAATCCCCAAATAATAATAATAGTTATTATTATAAATATGCAAAACCAGATCTGCACCCAGAATTTAAGGATTTTCTCCATGTTATATATTATTTATCACAATTCCTCTTCCCCAAAATGTGAGGGAGCCTACAGAGATACTACAAACATAAAACTGAATGAAGAAATCAGGGGCAATGGGAAAATAAGGGTTGGGGAGATAGAAATGAACTGATACATAAACTTACCACACGAAATGTCTGCAGTAAGAGTCTGGTGAATTTCTAGAGATGGGTGCAAATTTGTGGTCTTCCCAGAAGTCACAGCAGAGAAGAGATTACAACACACCTGTAATCCCAGCACTCGGAGTTCGAGCTAGGGAGATTTCAGTGTGATGCTAGCATGGGGAATTTAGTGAGTCCCTGCCTCACATTTTATTATTTATTTATATTTTCTTAGTACATGTTTATAGTACATGCTGTTTATATCCCTTGTGGGGAATTGGAACATATACATAATACATTTTAGTTCTTTTATGTCCCCTTTCCGTTTCCTTCTGCCCGCTGTGTCAAAATTTTAAAAAGAGGCTCTAGATGTAGCTCCGTATAAAGGTGTGAAGGTCCTGGGTTCAATCCCATGTATCAAAAAACCCACAAAAAACAAAACAACAACAACAACAACAAAAGAAAACAAAAGGATAAGCATATCCAAAGTCCAAAGTAGCTGGGGATGATGATGCACACCTATAATCCCAGCTTTCCTGAGGCAGTGGCAGAAGGATTGTGGCTAATGTGAGGCCAACCTGGACTACATAGTGAGTTCAAGGCCAGCCTGAACTAAATAGTGAGACCCTGTCTCTAAATAAAAAGTTGTTCGAAATGTATTTTACAAATGTCTCATAATGACCCCAAGTGCAGATTCCATTTGATTTTCTTTCTTCCTTTCACTCGCTCTCTCTTCCTCCCTCTTCCTTCTTTCCTTCCTGTCTGCCTCTCTCACTCTTCCTTCTCATCTCTTCTCTTTTCTTTTCTTTGATACAGGACCTCACTATGTAGTTCAGGCTGGTTGCGAACCCATGATGAACCTCCTGCTCTAGCCTCCTGAGTGCTGAGACTACATGTCTGCTCTGATCTAACTTTTACCTATTAATTTAGATAGCTTCAGGCTCCTCTTTAGCTGATTAAGTCAATGCTAACTGAGGTGATTTAACCCAGATACTTTTAGCTCACACCTGTAATCTCAGCACTCGGGAGGCTGGGGCAGGAGGATCACTGAGTTGAGACCAGCCTGGGCTACATAGTGAGTTCCAGGTCAGTCTCAACTACATAGTGAGACCCTGTCTCAAACAAAACAAAGCAAAATAAATAATTTCAAGACATTTCCATTCTAGAAAAATAAGAAAAGCATGAATTTGATTTGTTCTTGTCTGTCTAATTTAATGCAGTAATTTCCAATTTTGTTCAATTCAAACAAATACAACTTAGAACTTCATATAGAGTGATAGAACATTCTGGTTTCTCTTTTGGTCTTTTGTATTTTAATGTAATCAAAGGGTGGGTCCTGGTGTTGAGGATGGGATCACATGTGGCAAGAGGGAGTCTAGATGTCTGTTTACCAGGGTCTCCCATGCATGTTTTGAGTTGGATGTTCACCCAGATCAAAGAATTGAATATATATTGAGGCTTGATGATGCTATTAGCTTGATGGCTATTTCTTATTGATATCAGTGTCCCCAAGTTGATTAACATATTTCAGATTCAAAGCTCAAAGAGAGGGGGAAAAGCAACTAAACTAGACTATTTGTGAATCTGAACAAAATGAGTAGGATTACTTTGAAGACTATTCTGTTTGGATCAGGTGAGTCTTGGTGAAGAATCTCTGCCCCAGAAGAGAATACACCTCTCCAAAGAGAACATTTATACTCCCTGCATTTTGTGTCTGTTCTCTGGACAATACTTGGTAAAGAATGGAAATTCTAGGGCCGGGGATTTAGCTCAGCGGTTCGGTGGCCTGCCTCACAAGCTCAAGGACCCGAGTTCGATCCCTGGTACCAAAGAAAAAAAGAATGAAAATTCTGGGGCCGGGGACTTAGCTCAGTGGTTCAACTGCCTGCCTTAAAAGCACAAGGTCCTGAGTTCAATCCCCGGTACCAAAAAAACAACAAGAATGGAAATTCTGTTCCCAAAGGCTAATCCATACAGAAACTTCCTCTGAACAATGTATTAGAATGGTTAATTATGTTTCTGCTCTGAATTACAGTCACTACAGTCACTTCTGGTTTTATAGTCCCCCCACCTTTTCTTTTGGTACCGGGGACCAAACTTGGGACATTGTGAGGCAGGTGGCCAAACCACTGAGTTAAATCCCTGGCCCTACAGTCTCGTCTTAATTGGAGTTTGAAGCCAAGGGCAGGTTTTTAAACTTCTCAGTTATACATTCAGTGGCTTGCTCCCACAACCAGCTAATTTATTACATGTGGACTTTAGGAGGTTCATTCTTAAGAGCTACCTTACTTTCAACATTGTTGCTGTTTATGAAGTTATGTCCCCTAAAAGAAACTTTTGTGTGTATGTGTGTGTGTGTGTGTGTGTGTGTGTGTGTGTGTGTATGGTACTGAGAGTTAAATTCAAGGCCTTCACAATGAGCTACATCCATTTTAATGTATTGTTTTGAGACAGGATCTTGTCTAGGCTGAGCTCAGCCTTGTAATTCTCCTGCCCTACCCACCTAGTGCTAGAAATACAGGTATGCAACACCCTGCTAAAATAAACTTTTTTTTTTTTAAACAGGGTCTTGCTATTAGCTCAGGTTGGCCTTGAACTCACTGTGTAGCCCAGACTAGCTTCGAATTTGCCACAGTCCTTCTGCCACTGCCTCTGGAGTGCTGGGATTATAGGTGTGCATCACCACGCCCAGGTAAAAGAAACTTCTAAAAAGCATTCTCTTCAATCCAATATCTACTAGTGTTAGCACCATACTTTACTCTGGAAACGATTACATTAGAGAAAAAAAAAAGAGAGAGAAAGAAATTCAGAATTAATTACTATAAGGGTAGAAATCATAAGACCCAGTTTTTCCAGAAATTCGCTAGACCCTTAAACTGTATACCTGTGGTGATACTTACACAATTTATTTTGTTGTTGTTTTGTTTTGTTTTTTGAGACAGGGTTTTGCTCTGTAGTTCTGGCTAGCCTTTAACTTATAACCTAAAATGGCCTTGAATTTGAGATTTTCCTGCCTTGGCCTCCCAAGTGCCAGGATTACAGGCATGTGCCACCATGCCTTGCTCACAATTCTATGAATATACTGAAACACTATGGAATTGTACCAATAATTGCATGGTATGCAAATTATAGCTCAATAAAACTTTTGAGAATTGAGATAGGGGAGGAGGGAGACTCCATCACTACACAATCAGCAAAGTTGCTCTCCAGTACCATTCCTCAGAGGCACTACTGGAAGTGGGAGTCTGTCATTTGCACTGAAATGTGGCTCTCCTAACCTGGAAATTCTGTTTTCAACATTTGTTGCACCAATCTTTACTGTCTTCCCTGGAGATAAATCTGTTATTTATACTACTATATATAAAGACGTACTTCACAGAAATTAGTAATGCTTGTTTCTACTGTGCACAGAAGTTTTCTTCCAGGAAGAGTTCCCTGCAGGATTATTTCCTTATGCCGCTTGTTTTCCTGATATTTTCTGAAAAGGAAGGAAATAGTATAAATC